CATATTTTCAAGACATGTGTTCAAGACGACAGGACGACCGCACGTCCTGTCCTGTGCTCGTCTCTGATCAAGGCAGTAATTATCAATAGTTTTCTTATAACCGGGAAGTATAAACACTGCTTCATCATCAATTCAACCCATTTGGTCAAAATATGTCAGAGAAGTTCTAAGTTTTTGGAGTGTGGTGTGATTTTTGAGAGACTCTCTAATCAGAAGAGAAGTGCAACACATAGCGGTAAAAAATTTCAAGCGCTCAGAATACGGGATTTGTTCTCTAAAAGTCCATCGTCATAAAAGAACTTATTATAAGTCAATTTATTTTCGGCAAATAAATGTAAGACAAGACATAAATATACAGGGTAATAGAGAACTCCAAGTGCTTTCAGAATATTTAATTATATTTTTTAAATGTATATTATAGTGATGATATATTAAAAAAACCGAATGTAGTTATTTTTTTCCGGGCGGATATATAATATGGGGACTAACATAGATTCAAGCACTTCTCGATTAACAGCCGTGCTTAGAGTCCGAGTCAAATAAAACAAGCGAATCGGATAGTCCTAGAATAATTCTACATGCAAGGAGAAAAGCGTTACATCACCTACCGTAAAGTAGAATTTGACGTACCAGTGAAGTACCGTAAAGTGGAACTAAAGTCGTGGTTTTGCTTGCTCTACAATCTTCAGATTTCTAAATAAAAGAAATTATTGAAATCTCCTTGCAGATTAAAGAAATATAGAAGATTTCTTAAAACACATTCATACACAACGAAACAAGATTACAGAATCACTGAGGAACTTCTTCAGTAATCCCAGGAAATATAAATAGATAGAAACGCAATTATAAAACTAATGCTACATTTATTACGAATTTGGTCTGATTTACATTTCAAAATGCGTAAACTAAAAGAGAACGGATAAAGTAGCTAAAATATAGAATACAGAGTATTTATCGTTCAAAAACGAGTGAGCTACGCGGTTATAGATAGTTCACGGCAATCAAAAAACATTCCAACGAGCTCAAAATTTCAGGATATGATTGATGTTGTCAGCTAAACGTGACTATAAGTTCGAAAAAATCGAAAAAGTATATTTTTGTTAAAAGGTTTTCCGGAAACGCTTTCGGAAGCCTTGTGGTTAAGTAAAATTAAACAGCCTGAAACTCTAATTTTCGTATAACTCGCTTTTCAGTAGCATTTTAAAATTTTTCCAAAAACAAATAGTGCTGCGAAACTCAGCGTGATCGTTTACTCTTAGTTCATCAGTCTTGAAGGCTAACGACCGTCACAGGGTGCTAGTCCTAGGATTCGTAATAAATCCGATACAACGCCCGGACCGTGAAAAATCAAGATCTCCCTTGATTCTCAATTTAAAGGGCACACCACGACCTATCAGCCCGTGAAAAAAATCAATACAATCGTATTGGAAAACTTTTACACACGTACTAGTACGTGTGTAAAACTAGTTAGTTTTCCAAAGATCCCCTGGAAAACCTGTTTCAGAAAGCTCTTCTGGAAAACATTTTGGTTATGAAAACATGTCTTCAAGTCTCTTCTTTCGAATGGTGAAAATCGGAGTCCTTCAGCTTTTTCCTATCAAAAGTTATTCAAAAAACAGTTATATACCATTCTTTTTTTGGATGGACAATAGTTCAACAACTTGCGTATGGTACACCGCAGAATAAATTTTGTAAACATTCTCATTGTGATACTAGAAATCAACGCTATCGATTACAAATCATACTTGTTTTTCTAGAAAATGGCGAACCTAATGAAAATTCGGGTTTCCTGGAGAACCGAATCCAAGCAAAAAACTTTCGAGCAATTCTAACTTCGCCATTAGATAGAGCATAGCCTAAAACCTATTAAGAACTATTTTTGGATGCTGTGTAGACACTGTTATTGAATTAATAGCACATGTCCGCCTGCTCTAGCCAAAATTATCCACTGTGGAAACCAGAACTCAAAAAACACTCAGACTTGAGCGTGTGTGTATAGAAAATAAAGGAAAACTTTGATTGTAGAAAGCAAACAAAGCTCTTGTTTTGCTTCCTTGATTCTTTCTGGGTGTCTGAGATGCTAAACTATCTCATTTCAAATCAGAACATCAAAAAAAGTGGAAATCGAAAAAAATCGGTATATATCGAAGTTCGGTATACTCACATTATCGTAAAATCGACTTTTTATACGGAGCTTTTCAAGGCTCGACTTAATGTTTTTCGATATCAGAATCCTTCAAAACGTTGGACGACAAAAGGATGTCTTATTCAGATGAGGAATAAAAAAGTGAAATTTTTTAATACAAGTTCGAGATGGCGCCACATCCTAATTTTACAAATTACATGGGAAAATTTCACTTTTTTATTCCTCATTAGAATAAGACGCCCTTTTGCTGCCCAACGTTTTGAAGGATTCTTATATCGAAAAACATTAAGTCGTGCCTTGAAAACCTCCGTATAAAAAGTCGACTTTGCGGTAATGGTATACCAATACCGGTGCATACCTATCGGTGGAATCTAAAATTTTGATCATCTTCGATTGCCATTTCACGAACGTCGTTCACGTTGTATTTCAACCATTTTGTCACGACTTAAAAGCTCAAAACCAATACTTTATATATATATAGATAGAGAATTTTCTGCGCTTGGAAATGGGCTATAAACAATATTGTCAAAAATATGCTCCGAATACTATATATGTATTGAAATGCATATACATTAAATATATAATTTGTGCGTGTTAAATAAGAAATTAATAATGGATAATAATTTAATGTTTTTAGCTTTCGATAGCGATTTATTGTAAAACAGGACTTGATGCAATTAGAACATAACTTTTTTAAAACGCACTTTCTAATTCCATCAGGTCCTGTTTCACAATTTTATACTAACTCAGTGCCTGAATAACAGACATAATAAATCTTAGGGAGGTTATGTACTCTGTAATGAGGTTGGCAGTACTTGTACGAGGAATACTGCATCAGTGTTCGAGACTCTGATAATTCATGTGAACTGAGTGTGTTAGATCGTGCTTTGGTAGTTCAATGATCAGAGCTTCTGACCTGTTACTAGAGGGTCCTGGGTTCCATTCCTGATAGAAGCATACATTTCTTTTCAGATGTTTGCCTATCAAAAGTAAAATACTTCATTTTGCAACTCTCCTCGAGCTGTAAAAAATTAGCTAATCAGCGTTTTAAAATCTCAACACTATCAACTACGCGGTGTTCATCTAGAAATCTTGACAGGGAGCACTCATAAGATCTCCGCAAGCTGCTGTCAAAAAATTCTGTAGCTTAATCGATGCAGTTGTAAATGCTGAGCAAGAATCTAGCTTATTTTGAACATTAGGTACAAAAACATTCAAGATCTTGTGTCAACAAATGCCATACGATAATTTCGGTAGTATTGGCAGAAAACAGTACTCGGCCAGTTCTTTTTGCTCAATGCTTTAATACCATCTTGCAGCTCTTTTCAAACATCATCGAATAATATGTACAAATAAAGCGAACATAAAAAGAACGAGAAAACAAGAGAAAACACAGTGTGAAGGCGAAGCCTGTAACCTAAGCAGAGACACATTAGCAGAGGACAAAAAAGTGCTAAGCAGAATAAACAATTGTGACGCGTCGCCTGTGGGATAGCGGCTTAATAAATAATACTGACATTGTAATGGGTATAAGAAAACTCATCGCGTGCGCGGACGTTTTCAATGGCATGTGGAGCGATCGAAAGAGCATTCGACCCAGGAGTGCGTCACTATATGAAAAGACGTGCTATATCGAAGCGAACGAGCGTATCCATAACAGGAGCAAAGGCAAACACAATGGTGGAGACTGGGTTAATCATCAGAGACGACAGTAAGCGATAGTAAGCGGCAACTGGAGACAAAACGATAGCCATGTGAATGAATGAACTTATTTCGTAAAGAACACATGGAAGTTGCAAGAAAGCTAGAGCTCATTTAAATGTAACACCAAATAAAATAAAAGCTCACACTCACACACACAACGAAAATTTAGACAGTAAAAAGATGTTCTTTTAATACAGTTGTAAATGCTCTTAGCGTATTCTGATGAACAATAGTACAAGGCAATTTGTTCCAGTCCTCTATAGTTTTTGGTACAAAAGAACCGGAAGCAGATTTTAGGGTGTAGTTCTTGCACTGACCCCTTTGTTATGTGAGTTTCTCTCAGTTTGACGGATGGATGGACGACTGATAAGACTGCTGTGATGTAACCATGGTAAAGTATATAGAAATAAACTAAACGTGAAATTCTTCGGGAGGATAATGGTGGTAACTTCAACAGACTCAGAAGGTTGGTAGAAGTGAAATGGCTGAGTCTGTTCTGTCTTTCTCCTAATCACTCGACAACATGTGGACGTATTTTTGCGAGGAAGAAGCTAAGGATTATCGAGTGCGAAACTCATACAAAATCAAAGCACAAGTTATCACTGTCAGATAACTGATGAGGATAGTGAGACGGAAAACTACCGTCTCATCATCTTCTTAATTTTGTTAAATGATCAATAAAAGTCGAAATTTGCCGTTTGAGATCAGCGTTAGAAGATCATGGTAATGGCGTGGTTTGAGAGTATAAGATAAATTTCTAACAAGCAAGTAGCTAAAATCGAACACCTGGACATAACTGATATATCAGAGAGTGTTTGATTATATGCAGACGAGAAGTCAGTCCGCGTTATGTACTCAGGAAAAGAAAGCGAACATTGGTACAAACGATGACAAAATTTGAGCGTAACGAATAATTTGTCCTTGAAAACAGTGAAAAGTAGCATTTTTACGGCGTTTCAATGTTACTTAATTTCACTGGATGAAAGTCGAATCAAAAACCAAAAAGTTCAAGCGAATCCTACTTTTTTATTTGATAGAAAAAGAAATGGTAGAAATAATCTAAATTAAGTTTTCTTGATTAATGTGCGCACTAATTGTAATCACTATTTCGACGAAAGTGAAATAATTGAATCTGTTATGGAAAAACACTTCATTTCTGGGAAGCATAAAAGGGCACCGACATAGAGATTGGTGTCCGAGTAGTGTTTGTTATTCGAGTCGTTGTCGGCGGTGTCTTATACGTCTCCATAAATTTTCGAATCTTTTGCGTAGCCGCATGATTGTTCATAAAATGTTGTTGGACGAGTGCTACCTGATCTTGACCCATTTCGATGGGACGCCCTTTGAGTTCTTCAGGCAAGCCGCAGATACCCACTTGACATGGCGGATCGGTCCCGTACAAACCCAAACAACAGGCCCACATTAATTTTGGCGGCTTTGGATGTTCACCGCTACCAGCGCTAATGGCCAGCAGTTTTGCTTTCTGGGCGATTGCTTGAGCTTGATCGTTGCTTAGCGGAGTGTTCTGATCAATATCGAAGATAAATCCATCGTGATAGTGGCAATTGCCATAATTGGTCTTCGATGGAATGTAATTTTGTAGACATTTAGGACACTTTTTAACCGTTTCATCATCGATACGTTTGTTTTCATCATCGCGTTCTTGCTGCATCTGTTCGTACGTCTTCTTAAATTCGATATCTTCGATTAAGAGACTGCGAAGAAGCGGATGTTTGACGATCATTACCAACCATTTCTCTTTCAATTGCTCGTTACCAGTCGACTTTTGCTCGACGATAGATGTCTTGCATTTCTCTCGAATGAATTGATACAAGCGAATGTTAGAAATCGATAATGATTTTGACATTTGCGAATCGGACACGCTGAGCATGATCAATGAGTCGATGTCGAAGATAAGCATCGAGCGGTTGTATTCGTCACATTCTGAGACAAAAAATAATCGGTTACAAAACTTAAGCAATATGTAGTTGATCAAGTTCCACTATCTAGTACAATTCATTTCAAAAGATCCAATAAAATTGTCAGCACCATGGCATAGAAATTTCTGCGCGCTAGTTGATCTAAGGATACCGAGCAGTCGAGAACTGTATCAGTCTCATGACCGATTGATAGGCAAACAAGTCTATAATTAACCAGAGGGAGCCTGTCAATCGATTTCGCTAAAACTCCAAAAACATATTTCGATCGAGACTTGAGCGAACTATTGTACTGGCCCACCATTATTTGCTCATTCAATGAACCGATACGGGCACTTCATCTCTTTTGACTAGAAAAAAATTAGAAAATCAATAACTTCACACTGTTAACAGTGCCAACAAGACGATCGCGTCCTTGGGAATATCCGTGACGGGATGGAAGTACGAAATATTTCAAAATTTTTATCAACTTTTCAAAACCTATGAAGATTACAGGGTCCTATCTAACAAACGGAGACTGTGAAAGAAACGTTTTACTTTGATATCGTGCCTTTTATATTTCTTGGCCGTAAACTCGATAAAGCAGTTAGACCGATTCCATCTATGATTCATATTTATGACTGATTTACTAATCCATTTGTGTTATTCAGTGTCTTTGAGACAACTGTAATCCGTCGTATTAAAGATACTGATAGAATCATCGCTCAGGCAGGCCGTTAAGTCAACGCACATCTGCTTCAGAATGGCCAAAAGACTTCATATATGTACCAGGCAAAAAGCGCTCGAATCCTAATTCTGCCATTTCGTAACTCGTCAAGACAGGAATTTCGCTTACTTCACAGAACGGATTTTGCAGACTTCTATTCGTCACTCAGAAGAATTCTGAAAGTAGAAAAGTATCGCTTCGAATTCACAAATATCATTCACATGACTTTGAGACTGAATCCTGTTAGTGCTCACCTAGAAATGTAGTAGTCAACAATTCAAATATTTGATTTTCATCAGAGGCATTGTGTTTGATAAGAAAGTTGAGATCAATTATTTGAATCGTGTCAATGTTTCGACTCGAACATCCACTGATAAAACGTGAGAGGAGCGTTAATGCCGATGTTTCCTCATCGGCGAGTATTTTCTCCAGTGTAGGCTCCTTAGTAAGTTCGATCAAACATTTTCGTTCTTGTAAATCGATAAGAATGCGACCTGATGGAGTGCTGTTAGGTAATTTAAGTGAATAGTCATCTTGTTGACCATCTGATGAGAAAATATTTGGATGAAGACGACAGATTCCAGGCAATGTTCCGATACCAAACCAGCAGCTAAATTCGCGCGCCGTATTGTCGGCCAGTTCGAGTAGTGTATGATCTGTGAGTGTTCCCGGCTGTTGATACTGATCCATGGCGACAATAATGCTCGATTTCAGTGCCCCAACTGCGGCACCACTAAAATTTGTCGTTATTTTGACAAGAAAATCGATGCGTTTGCTCGTAAATACGCCTGAATCTTTGCATAGTAATGGCCGAAGCATTTTCTTTCGAATTTGTGGCGAAGGTCGACCGACAAAACATTTCGCTTGCATGCGACGTAGAAAAGCTTCGTCCATCATATTTCGTCGATTGGTTGCACCGAATACAATTAAATTCGGTATATTTTTCACACCTTCAATGTGCGATAGAAGAACACTAATTCCGTCTACTTTCGATTGTTGAGCATTATTGTCTCGTTTGGGAACCAGTCCATCGATTTCGTCGATTGTCATAGCACAAATCAGATAGGGTATTGTGTTCGCACGATGCATGATGTCGACAAGTAACTTTTCTGTTTCGCCCACATATGGTCGATTGAGTTCACCAGCTGCTAGCGGAGCCGTTGTCATTGTGATGCCCGCAAAGATGGCAGCTCGTTTCAGTAGTTCCGATTTGCCTAGAATAGAACTAGTCTCGTCGCAAATCTGACTCAATTTTAGTTTTAAAAGTCTTAGATTGAACGAGCGATTAGTTCGAACTTCTCGTCTCCAACGCGCTTATTACAGACTTCGAAAGTACGCGAGTCTAATAATAATAGCACATTTTTGTTGCTAATTTCGATCAACTGAGCATGAGTTAACCCCAAATAGCGAACGCTACTACGCCTTTCAGAATGGCACGCTGAAAATATGATGCGAATACTGATTAGTCGCCTCAAAAATTGAAAGCGTGAATGACACTCAATTAAAAAATATTCAGTCTTAAGTATAGTCAGCATCTTTATCCGTGCAGTTTGATGTTAAGTTCAGATAGATCTAGAATTTTTATTTTGCAAATGAATGTTGATATCATATTCGCAAAGTCAAAGGAATATAATCCACTAACAGCTAAAGAATGCAATTTAATTATTTTTAAAGTCTTTACCTGTTCCTGGTGGACCATAGAGTAGCAATCCTCGTCCATACTTCACAATTAATTTTCGATGTTCATCCGCAAGATCAAGTTTGAGAAAAGCATCGAGATCTCGAATTTGCGCGTCGTCTTCGGCTATTTTCGTTGCCAATGCCTGATAGGGCTCTTTATGTTTGGCAAGATCGTCTCTTGTCTTTCCGAGTAGTGCTTCGGCTTCGCGTCTCTCCTTTTTATAGTCGTCTCTCATCTGTTTAGCCTGATCATGCTTATCCATCCAATTTGCATTGATATTTGTCGTGGTCATACTACTACACGCTTCTGCAATTAACTTGGTTGCTTGCGCTTCAACTTGTTTTTCTCTTTGAACGATATTATAAAGGCGCAGTTCATACAACTTCACGTCATCTTCTGCTTTCTTAATCAGGTTACGCCGTGCTTCAAGTTCTAGACGATGTTGTCCATTGGTTTCTCGTAATCCCTTTTGCTCCTCAGCCCATGTTCGACGTTGCTGTTCGTGAGCAGCCGAATCGACCACTGCATTTCGCAAACAGAACGTTCTCAAGTAGGCATGTATATTATTGAGCACATTTCCATCGTCATCATATGTACGTCGTATTTCAGTAATAGCCAGATCGACGGCACACCGATCGAGATAGGCAATATGCTTAATCGTATTTGTCACATGATGAAAATAACGTCGTACTCGATGTATATTAGCATATAGGGTAGCTTTTGAATCTTCGTAGGGATCCGTCGTGGCACTGAATGTACTAGAAGCGGCATTCAATTGCACATAATCGCGCACCATTTGTTTTACCAAATGTTTCACTGATGACAATTTTTCCCAGCAAGTATCATTGGCTGCCGCTGATCGAAGATGTTCGATCGTACTGATGTTTTCCTCTAACAAAAAATATCTCATGAAACTTTGAAAGAGACGAAAATGTGTTGATATCATTCAACACAGTTGAAGACAACGAAAACTCTACGACTTTTTTGTAGACAAGATTTAAGTCGAAAGACTCTTTTTCGATGCATCTTCGATAGTGCATATCACCGATAGTTGGAATTTTTAAATAGAACTAGAGTAGACGAAAAGCACATTTTTGGATAGAGGATAGTCGATTGTATATGTATCCACCAAAATTGGCTATGCTGCTAGTAGGGAAGTAAAAACGTTTTCGGAAAGTTTTTGAAAATAAGTAAAAAATTATTATTACGATTAATCGGCAATAATTTTAAAATAAAAAGCACGATAACAGTAGCGTTTTTTAACTTCATTAAAGTATTTTATTTAATTATAAATTATTTTCGACGTTTCGAACTATACAAAGTTCATTTTCAAAAATAAAAGCACGATGTACCTAACTTATGAAAACGAAATGTGATTCATTTAGCGCAAGTAAGAAATATATAGATATACAGTACCGATAGACGACGGAGAAACAAGGAGAGAGAATGAAAATGAATTTTCATTATCTTTTGACCATTTTTACGCATTATACATGGGAACATTTTAACTTATAATATAAGAGGGATTTTTTAACGAACTGAAAACAGGTAGTTAATAGCCCCGAGCAATGACCGTTTTTGCATCATTAGTGGCTATTAACAGTTAATTATTTGAGCGTTTTCTTGGATTAATGTTTTTTTATTAATACCTCAAATATAGCTAGTGATTCCAAAATTTTTAGCATTTTTGGTTTCTTAGGTCCATGGTGCTATCATTGACAGTCAGACCCAGAACCAACTACTGCTACCTCGAGACAAGTCTTGATGACGTGGGCAATTGAGAAAGAGATGAAAACCAGTTCATTTCTTCGAAATTACTATGGAGAGTGCCATATAATTTTCAAAAGACAGAAGGGGAAAAAAGTCAAACATGTCTTCATCTTGGTGCTAATTGAATGATCGACAGGGTAGATTCTCCTCTACTTCAGAAACTAAAAATGAAATGTGTGAGTTGAAAAGTGAATGCAAAACTTATAACAGTTTTGTGATCTAATTGCAGCTGACTGATCTACTCAGTCGAATGTCTTATTTACATAAAATAAAGTGTATCTAGTCGATACTTTTATATTTCGTATATGTATAACGTTCCCATGTATAATGCGTAAAAATGGTCAAAAGATAATGAAAATTCATTTTTTTCCATCATCTCAAATAGACTAAAAAAAGGAAGGATAGAAAAGTATAACTCGATAGTATAGCTCAGTGGAATGAGCAGAAACAAAGATATTTTTACGGCGTGGGTTCGATTCCTGCTCGAATCGATATACTTTTTTTTGCTTATTCTTTGTTTCTTTCTCTTAAAACGTTTTTACCAAAAACCAAAAACCAAAAACGTTTTTACTTCCCTACTAGCAGCACCCGAAGCCATTTCTGGTGGATACATATACGATCGACTATCCTCTATCCAAAAATGTGCTTTTCGTCTACTCTAGTTCTATTTAAAAATGCCACCTATCGGTGATGTGGGACTCATATTAGATACTGAGCTCACAATAACTCTAGCAGACTCTATTTTGGTTGAAAATCCGTTGGTCGAATATTATTGCTGTAGATAGATGAGCAACAGTTTGAAATGTCTGCTATGTTTTGACAGCAGCACTAAGCATGGTTTATTGTTCACCATATAATTTATATCAAAAACCTCAATCAAACAGTCCTCTTTTATGTAGATGCGTTACAATTCTTTTTGTTTACCGTACGATAGTAACTTCGTTGAGTCCGATGACTCGGTAAGATATCGCCTATAGGGCTGCTACATTACTATTACTAGTAATAAGTAATAAGAAAAGTGTTATTACTTATTACTTGGTAATAAGTAATAAATTTCAAAAGTAATAAAAGTAATAAGTGATAAGGTAATGACTACAAAAAGTAATAAAAGTAATAAAAAGTAATAAGAAAATAAAAAGACGATAGAAAATATTTTTAATCATCAATTGGATTTCGGTTCTCACATTGAGACATTAACACAATATCGAAACTTATTTTGGCATCGTGAGTTATTTTTCAATGTTTATGCGAGAGCGATTGGACGGTTTTGGCCTCTCGACTATGAAGATCACTGACTGCTCAACTTGTGCTACTTGATGTGTTAAAGGTTAATTTAGCCTCCTAACAGCGGCGTATCCAAGGGGGGGGCAAATGGGCAATTGCCCATTTCATTTGGGGATTTGCCCATTGTAATTTTTATTAGTAAGCTTTTACCCATTGAAATTTTACTTAGCAGATATACCCAGGCGGTTTCTTTTTGTATAACCCTTAGAAAGATATTTGTAAGAGTGCCTATAGACAGAATTGTTTGTTTATTTTTGAAATAGAATCTAATTCAAAAATTAAAAGGATCTCATTTCATTTTTTTGTGTTCTTTTTGGACCAAAAATCTTTTGGCCCATCGACAAAAACCTTGCCCATTTTGCCCATCGTTTTTTTCCGATACAATAGAAGTTTGCCCATTGTACTAAAAATCCTGGTTACGCCGCTGCCTCCTAACGAAGTCTCCTTCATTTTAATTAATAGACACCTGTTTCCGCCTCTGCCAGTTTATAAAGTTTTTCACTACCTTTACGCTTGAACCATTTACGTACATATTGATACTATATTTTCCAGTTTTCGAAAAGAAGAAAATTTGCCTTATAAACTTACTTTAAAATTTGGCAACTGAAACTTACAGAATATTGATAATCTATCATGATGACTCGGTCAGAAGTAGTTTCAGGTTCTTTGGGATTTCTAGCGGATGTCCATAAAACTCTTTAGATTTGTATTAGGTTGAGCACTTTTTACATTCGATTTGAGAAGTTCGCAGTATTCCTCACCTATGCCGGCTGTGAACGCCGACCAAAAGGTCGTGTGAGCGTTGTCTTGGATTCGAAAATATTTCCAGTAATATGCGAGTCTTTGATGCGTCTAGAAAATCCTTTTAATATTTATATTAGATGACGAATCTTCCACGTCCACATGAAATCGGAGAAGAATCCACAAGATACCGTAGTTAGACTCGCTGGGATTTAAAAGCTACGGAAGAGATCCGCTAGCGCATTTATAAGTTCGTAAAGGCAAGAGACGAGCGTTATCTTGTCAAATAAAAGATCTACATCAATATATTAATATATTTTGAGATGGTAAAGGCAAACTCCAATGGAAATAGCTTTTTCATTATCTTCACAGTCGACAAGACAAATAGTCCTTGCGGTAATTAACGGGACTGAAAGCAAGACAAGAACAGCTACAATATAATAGAAACCTCTTGTATATGTATTTGTAAATCGAATATTTTTAGTTTCGCGACCAGAAAAAACTCATCAGTTCGTAGCGAACTGATGTACGAACTGACGAATTTAAAGAAAGAAACGTGCAGCTATGCCAACTACAAGTTCTCCTTGAGTTATTTTTCTTTTTCTTCTTTTTCTGTTCTATCCTTCTTATCTATTCGCTTCTTTTTATACCATCGTTTGTTCGAATGTCTATTACATTCCTGATGATGCCAACTGAAAGCTGGCGAAAGCTCGAATAAAGTATTTTCAAGACTGAAAGTCATGTTTTTCATAGCAGTTCTATATTCGATTTACAAATACTTATTTCCAACTGCTCTACCAACAAATTTCTCTTGTATATGGTTTTCTTCTGGGAGTTCCGCAAATGTGAGAAGATTTAAAAGATCATGTTTGACCAATAACTGATATCTTTGTGACAATAACTTAGTTCTTCCACTTATCTAATTCATACCGCATTTATCGTTTTGTTATTACCTTATTACTGTAACAACTTATTACTCGTTATTACTTATTACTTTTATTACCTGAAGCTTTTATTACTTATTACTAAGTAATAAGTAATAAATCTGAAAATGATAAAAGTAATAAATAATAAAATAAAAGGTTCAACTTTATCCCTTACTACTAGTACCAAGCACTTAAAGTCCGAATAGTATTAAAATGATAAATAATAAAGCAACTAGTGATGAAAAGTAATGAGTAATAAAAGTAATAATAATTATTACTTACTACCAAGTAATAGTAATAAAAAGTAATAGTAATGTAGCAGCCCTAATTGCCTATTGAAAAAAAGCGTTGTTAATGCTTAACAGACGTCTATACGTAATTTTGCAGAAAACAACACGTGTCTGGAATAGATTATAGAACTGATTTAGACTACCCGTTCTTTTTTCTTCAACAATATAAATTACATATTGATACCTTTTAAAGCGCGCAGCCAAATATTAGCATCACTTTCGTCACATTTGTTCTGCCGACAGATAGTCTTGAGAAGGCCCAAAAGAGTGACATGGTCTTGTTGCTGTTGAACAGGTTCTGTTATCGGCCCCGTAGTATCCATGGTCGACGATGAACCTTGCTGAACCCCTTTTTGTACTACATTCACTCTGACTTTCGTCGTCGATGTTGTTTTCCAGACTTTTGGAAAGTCACTCTTGTTTTCATCATCGCATTGATAGTCGAGTTCGAATAGATCGAATAAAAAATTAAAATTCCACGGTCCGAAAGCATCGTTCTTTCGTGTGAATAGATTGGGTCGATATTTGGTACGCACACTCTGATTGCTCATATCGATCGGATCGCGTGTCGATTCAAGTGCATATCGATGGAGCGTCGAAACACACTGTTCAGGGTCGCCTGTGCAAATATGCTCGTTCGGACCCATAAGTTCGTCAATGAATGCCTCCAACTCGACATAGGAATGTTTTAAATAAATATTCACAACGATCGAATTGACAGTGATGACTTCAATAGGCTCCGAAGCGGTTTTAGTAGCACTGCTTGCTGGAGTTGCAGCTAGGACTCTGTTAGTAGCACTGCTATCGATGGAGCTTGAACTCGGGACAAACAAATTGTATGAAAATTCGTCGTCTTCCGCTGAACTCATCATTGTAAGCAGTAGGTGGAATGATCGAGTAAGAAAATAGATAGTTCAATCTACAATGCAACCAGACGAAAGCCAACAAAGCTGCCAAATCAATAGAGAAACAGCGATATATCAGCTTTTTCAAATCAAATTGTATTTCAAGTATTAGTTTCTTAGACAAGATTATTTATGTTCTGTGTGCAAAAACCTTTTCAACAAAAAAACAATTATGTTAGTGTTGTTTAGGGGGAGGGGTTGTACGCCCTGATATTTTTATATGTTGGAGAGCACATCGGACTACATTGTAAGCTAAAATTTTTTGTCTTTTGTCGATTGTTTTGATGAAGCTATAGAATTTACAAAAGCGGCTTTCCGCGGAAGCCTCGGTAGAACAGAAAAAGTATTTTGAAAACGCCCTTGCGCAACTTTCAGAAGAACAGGCGCGTCCTCATGAAAAAGTGTGGGAACAAAAGTTGTCGTGGGCACCTTGAAGCATAGGAGTGAGAAGTTTCATTAGCGATTTCCATGGGCAATTCTTTAGGATATGAAAACTTAAGTTCTGAAATTTTCCATTCGAGTGTTTTAGTCTCAAAATTCTAGTTTCACTCAGATCGAACCTAAATTCCTTACTCACATGCTCCAAAGTATCTCCGACAACGTTTGTTTCCACGCTCTTCGTGGCGATACGCCCGTTCTACGGAAAGTTATGCAGGAGCGTTTTCAAAATATTTTTTCCGTTCTACTAGGGTTCCAGCAGAAAATCACTTTTTTAAAGTTCAATAGTTCCGTCAAAAAAATCGACAAATCATAAAAATCCAACGTGCTCTACAAAATACATAAAAAGCAAGTGGGGGGAGTGCACGCGAGCGTGTATATCTTTAGTCGACCTATCTCACGCTAACTTAAATTCTACTATAAAGCATCTAAAGTAGCACTTTTCCTCTGGTTCCCAATGCGAATAGGCTTAGATTTTTTATATTGAAAAACCTTTATTTCGTTTAATCATCAATCATATGACTTCTAAGAGGACAAAGGTGTGTTAATGGGTCATGATCGGCAAATCTCGAGGATGATTTCTGTTTGTTTGTCCTACATCAATTATACTTTCTACGTGCGATTGGTTAATAATGAAATTAGATCAAATACTGTCGTAAACATTTACTACTAAAATAATTAGTCGCTCAAATCCAATGTAGGATGATTGCTCACGTTTGACTGAGAAAGGTGTTCTTATTCAGTTGCGCCGTTTGTTTGGTTCGTTGGGAACTGTATTACTGTTTTTGTTGATATTGTTATTTGTCGCTTTTCGTTCTTCGAGTTTCCGTTTGACGATTGCAATCGATTGTTCCTCGTATGTTTGTTGCTGTTTACAATGAGCCACTCTGAACTCGGTTATAGCTTGTTCAAGTTTCTGCAGTCGCTGATAGTTTTTCGCTTTCAAGGTTTCATTGTCGGCAAACGAATCGTTCGATCGACGAAATGCATCGTTCATCTCATGAAACGTGCGCTCACTTTTACCGATCTTTTCACTGGATTGTTTGATTTGCATCTCAATCGCTGTTAGTTCTTTTTTAGAAGCAGTAATCACTTTTCGTCCATTTTCCTGTCTTTCACATGCGATGCGCATATTCTCAGTGATTATATTGATCGAATTTTGACTTCTTTCGATTTCTTGTGTCTTATTTTGCAATTTGCCCTCCAGATGTTGCACTTCGGCATAAAGCTGCTTGTCACGTGCGTTCAACTTGTCCAGATTCTGACGAAGATCCTGCACTATGACTTCTTGAGCTTGAGCTCGAAAGCCTGCTGCACGATGTTCGCGTTCGAAATAGATATTTTCATTTTTCTTAATCTGTACATTTTTCTGGAGTTCTGCCTTTTGTTGAAGCAACTGTTTGGTATCATTGGTTATTCTTTGAAGGTCTTGAGTATTGACAACAATGTGTTGACGAATCTCGCCGAGATTTTGTTGTTTGGTGGCTATATTAGCGCGTAATTCTTGGACTGTCTTTTTTTCGGCTTCGAGCAGTGTTTGTTGATGAGTCATCTCGCGTAATTTGATCTTTTCGGTATTGGTCATATCACCGAGTTTTCGTTTTAGGTTTAAGCTTTCACCTTTGAATATAAGAGACACATAGCATCAGATTATTATGTGAATAATTCGTGAAAATTGATAGCCATCAAGTTCGGATCCAGAAGTCAAGAGCTTCGGAAATATACCGTGGCTAAAACTTCTTGGCTTTTTCAGTTTCAAAAAGACCTTTTCTAAGCTGTAAATGTCTTTTATAGTCGAGAAATCTTACGATTCGCTAACCTGTCCTCTAGGCACAAGAACATGTCTTCTAAAACCGGGAAAAGTTTTGAGCCCGATTTTTGTGCGAAATGTTATAACTTTTTATTGATAAATTACGTCTTCCCTGTCAGATGTGATTGTTTCATAGGAGGTTCATCGAAGAGATAAAATATTGAACAACGTAACGAGTGCGGCAAAATAATCGGTACATTTAGTGTTTTGTCAATTTTTCCTTTGATTTTCATCACACAGACTTAAATTTCAATAAAACAAAACTTTTTTTATAGCTATTAAAAGCAGCTAGCCTTATTCATCTCTCATCGTACCTTTGAGACATTGCACGACGAGCTTCTGTTGTTGATGATCCCGAATCGTATTCGAGAGAACTGTTTGATGTTCGCTCATAGTCTTTTGATGGTCCTGTATGGTTCGATCGTGTCTCTTAATCATTGTCTTTACATTTGCAATGTTCGACTTTAGATCCTCCCTTTGACTGTCGTGGATGGTTAATTCTTGCTGATAGCGTTGCAAATCATTGTTTGTCGTGCTCAACTGAGTTTCAGCTCGCTGAAGTTTGGTAGCCATCATTCGCAAGTTCGATTCGGTCTGTTTTTGTTGTCGAGACACATTTTGGTGTTCTTCAATGAGTTTGGCAGCTTTGGCTTTGTTCGCAGCCAATGAATAAACTTTTTGCTTAGCAATTGTTTCATGATTTATAAGATCGGTGGTTGTTGCCTTATGTTGATTGAGACACTCAGTAGTATGTTGCTTAGCGGCATAATGTTTGTCACGAAGTTCAGCGCACTTTGCTTTTTTGGTTTCGAGTCTATCACGTGCTTGTTGAAGTGCCGACTCGGCTTTTATCAAACCTTGCGTTCTATCGCCAGTTAAAATCGAAACAGCAGGACCAATAAGTTTAAGAAGATTCCAGCTAATACTCATTATCTTGGCGGATTCGACTCGAGCTTCGGCAGCGCGCACCTGTTGTTCGGCAGTTCTTTCCTCGAGTTCGGCCTGTTGGAGTTGAACACTAGTTCGTTGTTCGTCGCTCGCTGCTTTAGTATGTTGATTTTTATGTTCACGCTCTTGTTGCGTGAGTTGAGACAAGATCTTTTGAGCTTCTTGGTTTTCACTCTCTGCATTTTGCTGTTCTTGTATGGCATCATTTTTACGCACGAGTAAATCAGCGCTCTGATTGTTCAGTTTAACCAATTCCGAGTCAAGATCATCGTGTTCTTTCTGCAGCCGTTCAACTTCTGTAGACTGTTGCTGTTGCTGCTTTTGGAGCTTTTCGACATTGACCTGAGCATGACGGAGCAAATCTTCCATAATACGCAATTTTTTTTCAAGTTTGTTTAATTGATTGGCTTTGTCTACTCGTTCATCGTCGAGTGCTCGAAAAGTTTTTTCGAGTTCGTGCCACTCACTTTCGAGTCTCTTTCGTTCTATATCGAGTTCTTTGAATCGATCTTCGGCAATGGCTAAGTCTTGTTTTACTTTCTCTAAATTTTCGTTGACCGATTGAATTTGTTCTCGTAGCTCGTTTACCTCTTGTTCCAATTGTTTGATTGTCTCTTGAAAAGCTTCAATTTGCGCCTGAAGATGAGCAAGACCTGCTACCTTGTCTTTGAGTACTTTTTCGAGCTGTGTAATTGTTGCACTCATTTGTTCAAACTGCTTTTGCAAGTCTTTCTGTTTTAGCTCGAGAACGCGTTGTTGTTCGTTGATTCGTTCGACTTCTTGCTCCACCGTCTTGATTTCTTCTTCAATTCTTGCGATCTCACGATGTAACTCTTCAGCTCTCTGTTCGTATTCTTCCCGTCTCGCATTTTCTTCCTTCAGAAGCTCTTCATTCATTTGAAGTTCCTGCATGGCCTGTGCGATTTGCTGCTGTAGTGCTTTCAATGACAGTTGAAGGTAGTTTTGCATACTAGAATCTTCAGCCTCTTTTTCCTTTATATCCGCCAGTTGCTTTTGCAATTGTTGTTGTTCTGAATCGAGTTTACTCTTTATGTCACTGCACTGACGTAGCTCCAGTTCTAGATTCGAAACGTTCCCTTGTTGCTCATAGATAGCTGTCTCTTCAAAAGTGATCGCTTTCGTCTTCTCCAATTGTTGAGCGTATAATTCCGTTTTTTCTGTTTCTAATTGTTGCAATTGTTTAATATGCTGTTCAATCTGATCAAGAAGTTCGGTGCTTGCATTTAATATGGTATCACTCGTCTTTTCGAGCTGTTGTTTGTCCTTAGTTAGTTCACGCTTTACACCTTTCAGTCTATCGTCTTCAGCCATATTATGATTGTGCGCCGTCTGTTTTTCCATTTGAACTTTATCGAAATCGGGCGACCGTTGTTGGAAGAAATCATCCTCAATATCATCATTATCTATCGGGTTTGCCTGAGCCATCTGCCTGAAAGGAAAAACTAGACGATTTAGACGCCAGGCACAAACTAGGAATTGATAAAAGATAAAGGGAAATCTCCACAAATCAGTGATTAAACAAACGTACTCAAAATACAATTTTGGATAATGGAACGGACCCTATTACTGAGATTTCTTTCATTAGAAAAAAGATTTCGGTCATCAATTATTTTCTGATCAACAAAAATACGTGTAAATCACTAAGTATCTATTAACTGTTACTGACTTATCGACGAAAAATATTGAGACTTACACTGTTTCTACAGTTGTTTCGAGATCATATTCGAAAAACAGCTTTATTCACATCTTTTTGCTGCGAATAAAAATTCCTCCACAAACACTTGATGGTTTTGAACCGCGTAGCATTACAAAGAAACGAGCAAATTTCACTCTACAAAAAGTTCTTCGACTCATTCTTTAATGTCTTTTATTGCAGACGAGATTTATAACAATGGAATGCACAGATGATGCTCGAGTCAAGAATGACTACTTTTATTTGAGACACAACCTACCATCACCGTTAAAAAAACTTCACACAAAATTTGAAAAACCTCTCGGTGCTGCATTTTTTGAAACAACAACAACGGAAAGTAGTACAATAATCATGTCATCGCAACCTCCTTCAGTCGTGCTCGTCTTCTACCTCAATCATAGTTTTGGTCATAATGAAAAATCAATACAAATTCTTGTTCACCATGCAATCTGAGTTGAACTTCAGAGTTTTTCCGCTAGAGGTGTTCATTTTATTCGAGCCTGGTTTACGTTAGCTCCTATATGATTCGACGGTGGTTTGTCAATTTAAATAAGCAATCATGTCAAGTTTTTCAATCAGTACAATTTGCACTACTTGACTTTCTATTTTTACTCAGTTCGACTGCTAAGAGACTAGTCGATCAGAAAGTACGTTGAATCTATATTTGTCCCAAAAATGACAGATGGGTGGTATTTAATCAAAGTGAAAATGTCAAACACAAGTTGCCGAAAAATATTTTATCAGAAAATGTTTTGTTGAGAAGTCAATGACGTATTTATCCGATCGGTGCCATCCGTTTATTGTACCGTTCGACTCTTCCGTCTTTCGCACTTGTCCATTCTATCCTCTCAACGTAATTATTTCCCCGTTCTAATTATCTAGACTTCGTCACTCTTACTTCCCTCCCATCGGCTTTTCTCTTTCTCCCTCATCCCACAGTCTCAGCTCGATGATGTTTCTATTGTTATTGTGAAAATCTCGAAAAGTGACAATAAAAGGTCTGAAGTTTTTGAGTGACTCTTATGTAATCACAAGGTTATTTTAAAAATTCGACCTGATATTTTCACCATGAGAGATTCTATTCTGTGTAGAAATTATCCATCCATTTGATGCTTCGGCGTCTGCCACTTCCAGTGTAACGAGATAGACAGATGTCACATCATACTGTCTGACGGTCGCCTACTATGTTCATTCTGATGTGTTTATATGTTTTGTTTTGCATAAAATTTTCACGATACGGATTATCCAATCAGAGACTCAATTTCAGATTACCAAAATGCAAAACCGCTTTTACAGCGTATGCTCTGGATTCAATGACGTCTTTCGAAAAGCTTTGATCTTTGATTGTATCATTTCACAACTCCCAACTAGAAGAGCCATAATAATGATGTCTGTGATACAGCTTTTTGCTAGACATATTGAAAACCTATCCGACCATCTCATCATATTTTTATATTCATTTTTATATCACATGATTTGTTTTACGACTTTCAAACTTCAGTTTTGCATGGTAAAATAGAAGATGCTCAGGGCTCTCTGGTAGCGGAATTAGAAAACTTGAGCACAAGCCGTTAGTGATCAAAAGTGAATATGGAAAAATGTAACGAGGTGGTCCATCGTTTCCTTACCATATGTAATCCGACCGTCACAGTGTGACAAGAACTACATATCGCCTGGAAAAAAATAGTTGCACTCGATTTTTTTAATATATCAACACTATAAAAATACATTTTAAAAAATATAATTATTTATTCTGAAAGCGCTCGGTGTTCTCTATTACCCTGTATATTTATGTCTTGCTTTGCATTTATTTGCTGAAAAATATATTGAGTGAAATGACGACCCTCTCATAGCAAAAGAAAAAGGTTCGAGTGGAAAAAAATAAAAGATTTTCAAAGTTTTCAGTTTTTTTATCTCTCGTATAATCTGCGTAGTTTTCTTGATTGAAGCTCTAAACTTAAAGTTTAGGTATGGTTTTGTAGAGCATTTCACGGCGCATCTTTTAAAAACCATTAACCTTTAGATCTTAAAGAAATATGAGAAAAATAGAAAATACTGAGAGGCCACTTCCGTTATAATTTCTGGGGATCTGACAATGAGAAGGCCGTCAATGCACTCAATTTATTTTCGGCAAATAAATGTAAGACAAGACATAAATATACAGGGTAATAGAGAACTCCGAGTGCTTTCAGAATATTTAATTATATTTTTTAAATGTATATTATAGTGATGATATATTAAAAAAACCGAATGTAGTTATTTTTTTCCGGGCGAATATATAATATGGGGACTAACATAGATTCAAGCACTTCTCGATCACCAGCCTCGCTTAGAGTCCGAGTCAAATAAAACAAGCGAATCGGATAGTCCTAGAATAATTCTACATGCAAGGAGAAAAGCGTTACATCACCTACCGTAAAGTAGAATTTGACGTACCAGTGAAGTACCGTAAAG